AGGGTGATCCACGGGTTACCGTTTCCGTATCCGCCGGTGTGGCACAAGGAAACGGACAACGCCAGCGCCATCCACTGGGCGACGGTGGAGAACCTGCTCCGCATTCTCAGTGGCTTCACCGCGCAGTATCTCGGGATCCGGCTTGTCCCGGATCCAGACAGTCTTCCACGGATACCATTTTTCACGTGAAGATTTGTACGTGTCAAACACTTGTAGGTTTGAATAAGACGATGTGAAAAATGAAAGAAGTGTGGACGAGACCTGTTTCAAGTTTCATTTCGCTTTTGTACCTGCCGGATATCTACACCAGTGACTGATGGTTCTATTTCATTCCCAGCATGGTGAAACGTGTTCATTATAGATGGATGAGTAGCAGTCCTATTAGAGAGATTCGGTTACCCTTTTAGAGGACGGGGACGTGACGGCATTACTAGGTGTTCAAGTTCTGGATTTTAGATGTGGAACGGGGGTGATCCACTTCCTCGGATCTCAACTCGGAAGGCGTAAAATAGACGATCTATTTTAAGTTTATCTTCGACTCAGTGATACACATGTTATAATCCTTTGAAAGATGAGGACTTCACGTAGAAACAGCATATAGCAGGTCATCCACCGTGTCCTTCGCCAGCCGAAAACTGACTGAACGAATCACTCGACGCTGTGCCGATGGTCACGTAACTGATTGGTCGTTCCTGATTGGTGAATCCTTGCTTGCATCTGATTGGTGGATCCTGGCACCGAGAGAACGGCTGGACGAGGCCCTTCACGTCTTTGAAACCTTCCTCGCGCGTTTTCAATGTGCCGGACACTTGATCGACGACTTCACCGGTTTTACAATCCTCATATTCTCTCATCTTCCGACCAAGTCCGTTTCGGAAAATGTGTCGGTGGACTTCTCCCGTCTCGACATTGCTTCTTTTGGGGGTCGCAGGTGATGGGCCAATATCGGCAGATATCTTCAATTTTTCCATGTGTTGATCTTAGGAATTGCTTTCCGAAGCGAATTTGCTCGATCGTAGTTGCGGTATTGCAGGAACGCGATGGACCGAGTCTACACATTCCTCGCATGACGCGGTACCACAACCTTGCTACATGAGAGGGATCATGGATCATCACAATTGAGGTCAGAAACCCGAGCTGCAGACCTGTCAATTCTATACGGGATCTATGGAGCTATGGAAACAATTCGGAGAAGAGATGGTCGCGTTTTTGTACTTACTGGGAATTGAACCGGTCGGCCTCTTTTCTCCCGCACGGTTTATAGGTATTTTCTTGCGTTCATCAGGGAAAGCTGGCTGTGAAAAATCTGAGTAGCATTGTCTCTTCAGGTCCATTTGATTTGTTTTCCTCTTCCATGCGAGGAAACTATTCGGTGCATGCAAGAAACCACTGTGATATTAAAGGGTGATTGCAATATCTATCCATCGGGATTAGGAAGAAGCAGTGAATGTGGTCCAAATATAGCATTGAGACCCTGATTACCCACGCCCACAAGGAACCCCGATGAGGTCTCGCAGCACGACATGAAGGGTCGTCGATGAACCGTCTTCGAGTTCCGCTTGACATGGGCTTGACATGTCTCGAGACTGCGTCTGGGAAGCTTCTTGGTCTGGACTCAATCTTCCACTCGTGCACGCACTAAATAATATATATATATATATATATTTTTTTTTTTTTTTGCTATCAATTGTACTTGACATCATCGGCAATATGAGATCCACGATTTCAATAATGACGTCATACATTTTTTTTGTCTTTAAACTTGCTCGAAATCTCTGGAAATGATGAAGACGATCCCTCTCACTGTCTCTCTCGCGGGACTGGAAGTAAAAACGTTAGCAAGCGGGAGCGCATTCTTCTTCCTTAGATCGACCGGGAGTGCGAAGATCGAAAAAGCAAACAGAGCGCAAAATGAAAGTTACATGAGATCCATTTCCTGCTTCCTACTCTCGAGGGGTTTGCGCCAGCCCCTTCTGCTCGTCAATCTGGCATTGGTCCTGAGCAGCGGTGCAGCGTCGGGGGGGGGGGGGGGGGGGGGGATAAGAGGGGAACGTGCCCCCCCCCCNCTCTCTTTTGCCATGCGTAGTACTTTCTTTTGTCCTTCCATAGTTTCCAAGTCTTCATACAATCCCTCATATGCTCTCTCCCTGGCAATGGCTACTGCTTTCTTTGCCTCCTTTTTCCTGGCCTTGTACATTGTTCTATCCTCCTCACTGTTGGTTTCATCGAATGCTTTCTTTGCCATCTTCTTTGCCTGGATACATCGCTGGACCTGTTCACCCCACCACCACGTCTCCTTTCCCGGCTTTGACTTACCAGTTGTTCTTCCCAGCACCTCCTCTCCTACTGCTCTTATGTCTGTGGCTACATTTTCCCAGTTGTCACCTCCATCTCTTTTCCTGATGTTTAGCCTCTCAGTTACATTCTCGACAAACCTTTCCTTGTATGCCACCTCTTTCAACTTCCACCATCTGGTCTTTGTTGTTCCTGTTGTTTCCCTTCTTCTTTGTTTGGTAGTCTTCATTGTACAAACGACTGGCCTGTGTTGAGTTGTGACACTCTCTCCCAATATCACCTTGCAGTCTTTGATGGAATCCTTGTTAGCTTTCCTACACATGATGTAATCAATCTGTGATGCCACTTGTCCACTCCTGTATGTTATTAGATGCCTTTCTGCTTTCTTGAAATAGGTGTTTAGCACCACCAAACCCACGCTCATTGCGGAATCAATGATCATCTCTCCCTCCTTATTTCTTGCTCCCACTCCATATATACCGATGACGTCCTCCATCCCTGTTCTGTCACTTCCTACACGGCCATTAAGGTCTCCTCCGATCAGCAGTCTCTCCTCACTGGGGATCTCTCCTATCTCTTCCGTTAGCTCCTCCCAAAATCTGATCTTTTCCGCTTCTTTACGTCCAGTCTGTGGGGCATACACACTCATGATGTTAACAATTTCTCCTTCAAGTCCTATCTTCATCCACATGATCCTGTCAGATTTTCTCCTGGTGTCCAACACACACTTCTTCAGGTCGTTGTCCAGTATGATTCCAACACCATTTCTCTTTGCATCGAATCCACAGTAAAAGAGCTTATAGCCATTTCCAATCTCTCTTGCCTTCATACCCTTCCACTTCGTTTCTTGCACACACAAGATGTTAACTCTCCTTCTCTCCATGAAATCGACCAGTTCCTGTCCTCTGCCCGTCATAGTTCCAACATTGAGGGTTCCAAGTCTGATGGTCTTCTTCTTCTCCCTACCCTCTCTTCTCTTCCGTCGTTGAGCTATCTTCTTTAGCCGTATGCGCTCTTCATACGGTAGCCGTCGCTGTCTTGTCACGAGATTACGGCGGTCTTCTCGCGCGTCGCTTGCGGGGGACGCCCTAGCTGTCACTCTACTTCCATTGTTGTCTGCTTTCATAGTTGATTGGAGCAATGTTTTACGCCGGATGCCCTTCCTGCCGCAACCCTCCCCATTTACCCGGGCTTGGGACCGGCCTTGGCTGGATTGCTCTTCGTAATAAATGATTGCTCTTATTAAGAGCCTCTCCAACACCGTTGACAAAGGAGCCAGGGATTGGGGATAGGTTGATAAAGCCAACTTGAAAACACCCAAAACAGTGAATGAAAAGAAGGTTGGCCGAAGCACGCAATTGCTCTGGCAGCGCTCTGCAACTGAATGCGTCCTCGAGGTATCCCATTCATATTTCTCCATTATCATTTTTCGACCATCAGAGAAGGCATCGTTATAAGATCGGTCTTGGCCAGGACTTGGTTTTACGTAATCGTGCTGCTGGGGGTCGATCGTTGCTACCGTGTTCCATATCTGGATATTATCAGTATTATCATAGTGATAAATTTCATCCTTAATGAACCAGTATCAAAAACAGGAAGGACTCCCTCATTCCGAGCTGAGGATTCAAAGGATGCTTGAAAGAGGGAGATGGAAGCCTTTGCTTGCAGTTCTGACAGCATTCCCTATCCTCCTTCCAATTGATCCCAGGCTGACAGGAAGGAAACCTCTCTCGAATTGTTCTTTTGTAGGCTTCCGTGTCTAGCCTCATCCACTAACGCAATATGCGCACGTGCTTTTCACGCGATCGATGTTCGACCACGGTTGGCAGATCACAATTTCCTTTGTGCACAACACTTTGAATAGGCTGAATGGGTATTCTTTTCGAATAACATACTTTTCAACTACTATAAAAAGCTTTAACTCTTGTAAAAACAATAATGAAAATCATGAGTTGATAATGACGCTCGCTTTTAGCGAAGCTGAGCATCATATGGCCAATCTACGATACTGAGAATGAAGACTACATTCGGCATCCTTTGCACGGAAGCAGAAGCTGCATGGCGGCCTTGCTGATAACCTGACAGTAACGTGGGTTTTTGTTTCTCATTGATGCCTGCAGTGACGAACGCTTCCAGCAGAAAATGGGAAGCTTTTGGCATCATCTCCTGTTTATATCTATAACTGCATATTTTCTGCTGTGCAAGAACTCAGTGGAAGCCTCCTTTGGTGACAGGGTGAGTAACAGGAAAAAGTGTCTTATTTGTTATCCCATTCATTCCGTGATGCAGCAATCAAGGAAGAAGAGGAAAGAAGGCAATAGTGAAATTAATAAGAACCCTTCATGACAGCAAATAACGACAAACAAAAAATAGTTCTAGAAGGAAGAGAGGAAATAAATTAGTAGGAAATTAATAAATAATGTGGACATTGTTTTTTCATCGAAGCGTGGACAACCTCATATAATAACAAAAGCAAATGGTAATAGAAAAGCAAGCCACGGGAAACACTAGCAGTGAAAGAAAAGGCAGGGACAAAAAGAAACAAACAAAATACAAAATAAAGGAAAGAATGGGATGGAAGACATTGTTAATAGTGGCCAAGAAGGCCATCCATAGAATTCATTATGTTCTCACTGAGTGACAGGATTGTGAGATAAGAGAAAATCGCCTGTAGTTTATCTGATAGGCATCAAGAGTCAGTCATAATGAAGGTGTTGGTTCCTGTCTCAAGATATGTACCATAAGGTAATATAGTATATTAGCATTTAGGAATGATTGATTTTGCTTGCCAAATCTCTGGGGTATTCATTACATCCTCAGTCCTTCTTGCATTATATTTTTGTCTGCAAATTTTATATTTTGGGTATGAGAATTTTCCTGTCTTCCTGTGTTCAAGCTCTTGTTTTGTCAAGCATTCTTAAATAATTTTAAATTTCTGACATTAAGAACTTGCTCTCTTGATGAATTCTTTGAGGAAAATGATACAGAATAAATTTTTTAAAAGTAAGGATTCTTTGCTAGAGAGTGGCATTTAATATGTTCTTTATAGCCAGCAAAGCTCATAATTTTAATATTTCTCTTCTGGAGAACCTTGTTCTGCAGATACTTTTGGTATGTTACTCCACATTGAAAGCCAGTACTGAGGCCCTTTCCTCATCAACCTGTTGATAGCAAACTATTTTTGAATAGGTTAGGGATATATGTAATTGGAGAATGTAACAACTGATGTTAGCCTACGTCTAACATTGGGCATATCACAGGCCTAGGCTTAGTATATGCCTAGCTGAGGCAAACATCAGGTATGGTACTGAATCCTGATGATACTCCATTACTATAGTTAGGTCTTGGCTGTAGCCCTTTGCAAAAGTTCCCTGGTCCTTGGACCTGTGAATTAACCTATAACATTTATTGGCCTCTGTATTATATTGGACACTGTAGGAGGCCTTATGATTGTGTTAATGTCTTGGAATAGTCTAAGTAGATGACCTGGGAAACTTGAACAAAACCAATGAACACAACAAATGGAGGCTTCTGAAGTGAAAGTGACTTAGGATAAATAAGAAGGGGGTTTCCAGTTTGGCCCAAATATGCTTATTTCTATATCTCAAGCTATCTCAGAACTTTTAGCATCTCATTCCATAACTTGCTGGTCAAGTTCAGGGAGTGGGGTGGACATATATGCAGAGGACCAGATTTTGAGTCTCACTCTGGCTGCAGTTTTCCTTCTCACTGTTATTATTATATCCTGTGACATTAAAAGGAAAGATGGGATTAGGAATGATAAATATAACATATTACACTAGGATTCTAATGTGTGATATGAGTATAATTATTGGATAGAAAATATTAAATTAATATTTGTCCTAAAGATTAACAGTGTCAGTCATAGCATATCTTCACAAAGAAAGATGGAAAAATACAGATGGCTATGGATTTTGGAGCCCAAATGGTGTGTTATTGTGTTATTGAAGGTTCCAATTTGCAGTCTTTGCATTTTTCCTTTCAGAGGACAAGGCGTCATGTCAATCAGATTCCACCCCCATTCTTTGATGAAGCCCATCATCAAGGGGATGGCTTGGACTTATTTCCCATTGTGGATGACCCACGGTTGCTGGAGATTCCCTCAGGTAGGCTATACTGAACTCCCACCTTGAAATCTTTGCATGGTAAGGAATGGCTTCACAGAAAAGGGAGACAAATGCATGTATTATATAAAAACAATCACTGTCCTGTTGTATAATACCCTGTTGACTGTTGTTATGTACCATGTATTTCCCATTTTTTTAGATCCATGTGCAAGAGTGTACTGTGGAGCAGGGAAGGAGTGCCGGCTGACTGTGAAGGGGGAGCCTGAATGTATTTGCAAAGAGGTCTGTCCTGCCCACATCAAGCCAGTATGTGGGAATGATGGGATATTGTATCCAAACCACTGTGAGCTTCATCGCACTGCATGCCGGGAGTCCAGGCACATTGCCATCAATCGGAAGGGGCCTTGCAAGGAAAAGAGCAGTAATGACCAGACAACACATGGTGAGTAACTTTTGAACTATTCACTTTCATTGGGTCCACAATACATGAATTGCTTGCTGTCATTTATTTTTTCATGATCCCTTGCTGGAGAGTCCGTTCTCCATTATCATCCCATTTTACCATATCCCTATTGTCTTATCAAGCAGAATAAATCTGGCTCATTGATTTTAAAAGAAAGCAGCAATGGGAACTTCTGGATTTCAAAGTGGGTAGTCTAAATGTATGATGGACTGAGTAGTACTCTTTCTGTTATCTTGAGGTTAGTCTATTCATTACAAAGTGATGTCCATGGCAACTTATGTATCTTTCGCTCAAGGAGTTTAAAATGGTTATGGGAGATCTTACCGTATAATTAAAAAAAAAGTAAATTGGAACCTATTACAGGTTAACACTTGAAAAATGAAGTCAAACTACCCATAAAATAATTTATCCTGCTGCAGGCAAGGATGCAATCTGGATTTCTCATTCCCATTCAGTTTTATGCTCACACTCCCAAACTAGAGATGCAGCATTATCAATATTCATCATTCTCCTCAGACTTTCATTGGGGACCTGTGGAATTGATAATTTATTGAGTTAAGATGCATTTTTCAGTTTTATTTGAGATTTTGCTTTTTTCTGGAAATCATAAGATGTATTGAATTTTGAGGTGTAATATTCATATAATAATAACAAACTTGGAATTACATGGTCATTTATAATGATCAAGGTCAGTAATTTTTTTAATGCTGATAGTTATCTGTTCTAGAGGCTCAGGTTCATGGAAGAATTGCTTGCTTCATTGGCTCATAAAGAGTTTCTTGTGGCATTTTTTTCTTTCAGAGGTTACAGAAGATGTGAGCACAACCACAAGTAGCTTGGTCCTGAACAAACACAAGTATCCTGTTGCTACCAGTCAAAGTCCTGTTAAGAGTTGGCCAAAAGAAGACTCTCACGAATATGTCATGGTGGATAATATAGAGAACAACATGGTTGAGATTGCAACTCCTGCGAACCAGGAATGTTCACCAATGCAGTATGAGATCATGAAGGTCAGAGTTCTAACTTGCCTACCTCATATGTTATATTAGGTTTATTTAGTACTTTTTAGAAACTGTAAAATGTTGTCTTTACTCATCACAAAGTGTCTGGTGCTTATTTCTGCAATCCTTTTTGTTTTGCTGCTGTAGTTGGCTTTTAATGATCTCAATTTATCCTTTCGCCTTTATAAGTCCATTAATTTTCAGGCCTAACTGTATTACTGCATATTATTTATCTTATGGCTGAATTTTGGAAACTTGCTTTGGTTCTGTGACAAGCAAGAGTTCCATCACTTGAACACAGTAAATGCAATCACAGTAATGCTGCTGTAGACCTGCTGAATTATGCTGGTCTCAGTTGAGTGGTTTTGTGGTTCCGCAGGACAACTTACTGCTATACAACCACAAGCATCTCATTGGGAGCGATGAATCCTCAGAGGCTGATCAGCTTCTCTCCATCATGTTTGCCCATTATGATGCCAATGGTGATGGAATTATCAACTCCCAGGAACTTGCTTCTGTATGTTTTCTTCAAGTTTAAGACATCCTACTTGCATTGAATTTATATTAAATAAATTTTTTTTTCTCCTTTGCTTTGGGTTTGCCATTTATAGATTCATCCACTAATTGACTATTTGTTTTCCCTTTGTAGGCATCTGCTATGGAAGATCTGGGGACTCTGTCTTCTGGCTGTGATTTGCCAGACCTAATTCGTTTTGAAGATCTGAACATGGATGGATCTGTTAACATCAATGAGTTCTATGATGCCTTTTCCAAGCTCTACAGTCAGTCACCATATGTTGCATCATATTTGTGCCTTTCATTTCAACCAGATAACTCTTGATTGATACTATGTTGGCAGGCATATCAGTGGTGTCACTGGACAAAGCCCTGGAGACAAATGAGATCCTGGCTGTTGTTGGAGACAACTTGGAGATCAGATGTGATGTAACCGGTTCCCCTGTTCCTCCCATTGTCTGGAAGAGGAATGGGGTCAATCTTGCTTCCTTGGCTGATCCTAGTCTCCAGGTCAGACCATCTGGTCCTACATTGTCTCAATATGAGGTGGATTTGGCCTTATATAGGGGAAATCATTCTACTCAGGTATTTCGGGATGGGTCACTCTACATCAGTCATGTGCAATTGGTCCATGGAGGTCGGTACATATGTCATGCTGAGAAGAATGAAGATGTCATCCAGACACACCTTCTCAACATTTCCTGTGAGTTTCCCCACAACAATATTACAAAGTCATTGAGTTGTATGCTGTCATCTTGACTGTAGTTTTAGATTTAGGTATGCTTATTTTTCAATATTATAATGCAAGATGCATTTGCATCCTGTGCACCAAATGCTTTTTTATTTCATGTGGATTCAGCTAAGCTAATATGGTTTGTCTAACTTCATTTTCTTAGTGTTGGGAAATTGATTTACAACTACCCATCAATAGGTGCCTGAACATTTAACTCTTTTACTACTTTTTGTTTTGGTGACCTTGATTCTGGGTTTTCTTTTACTGGTGGGGCACATTAACCCATATTTAGTTGTAAATTGTTACAGTTTTATCTTTCCCTTACATTTTTTTCCCCCTACATTTCCCTACATATTATTATGTCAGTTTCCAATCTAGTTTAAGAATATGATCTTCAAAGGTTGAATATTGACATGTGTTTGATACATGTCAATATGCAATCTTCATTTGAAGGTGAAAGAAACTCCAAGTGACAGACATAATCTTCCTTGGGCCTACAGTTATGAATGAATTTGAGAAAGCAAAATTCTCATATCTTCATGCGAAAGGACTATGTTTGATCCTTAAAAATGCTGTCTTAGCTGGTTTTTCATGATGAATTTTCCTGAAGACTACCTGGTGTATGGCTAACCTTGTTTTCCTTTGCTTGTCAGAAAGCAACTCTTGACATGTTCATATTCAAGCATCTAACCTGATCATAGATAATTTTTTTATCCTGACTTGTCCTGACTTTTGATGTCAAATTGTGGAGAATCAACTTTTCAATGACGGCCCAATTGTAGGGAGGACATCCAAGGTGTGATTTATGATTTTGCATTATGCAATTTCTGATGCAAAACCATGGTAAAAGCATATGAAGAAGAATTTTATTGTTCCCTGCCTTGTAAATCTCTGAATAATTTGATTGCCTTCTTCATACACTCTGTCTCATATGTGCTCTTTATAAGAATGTGTATGTGTATAAGTGTATGTCAATGCAGAACCTCCAGATTGCATGGTCTCTTATTTAATTTATTTTCTATTTAGAAAGTGTAATCATTATGCAGAAAAGTTATTCCCTGAAATAGTACAGGAGAAAGTTTTTTGGAGCCTTCTGTGCCCCCACTGACAGGCAATGGGTTAACTAGCTTATAAAGTGGACTCTCAGTATAACGAACACTGATATAATGAAAAACCAGTTATACTGAAATCCTTGTCATTGTCTGGCTGAATGTCCATAGACACCCTTGTTAAAAAATTTGGATATAATGAAATCAGATATAAAGAAATTTCCAGTATAATGAAAGAATTTCTGTGTCTCCCAGATAGAAACTATGCAGGATATAAGGAAGTGTCCTCCATCCAGAAGGAAATTAACTTTTTTCTCCCTCTTGGTGGAAGTGCAGAAGGGTCAGTCCTCCATACAGCCCTCCACCTCAGTCTTCAGTTGCAGGGCCTATAAGAACCAAGGATTTGGTGCCAGAATGTGTGTGATAGGGGAATGTGAATGTGGGTGAATGTGTGTGTGGCAGGGAATGTGAACATGGAAGTTGCAAGTGAATGAAGCACTTCAGTGCTCGTTCTCAGTGGCTTTTTGTCAGACCCCTTTGTTCCATCGATCCCGTGAATTTCATTTTACTAGGCTTCGGGAGGTCCATGCCCTTTACATGGCAGAAGCATTTACACATTTAACCCTTTTGCTGCATAATTTTTTTTGCCATGTAGCCAATGACAATGTTGCTGGAAGCAGCTGAAGTCACTTTTCACAGCATAAGGGTTAAGATGTCAGCTGCCAATGCTATTTCTGATGCCTCAACCGTGATGCCACTTGACACCCCAGTGGATATGAAGGTGTTCTATGAAGTACTGTTCTCCGGGAAACCTTAAAAAGTCGTGGGGCCCCCAAAAGTACACCCATGGAATAATAATCATATATACACAGCCATAATGGGATTCAGTTCTCTAATTGGAGATATAAGACTCTCCTATTATAATGAAAACCTGATATAACTAAATAATTCCAGTGACTTCATCAAGTTATAACAAAAGTCTACTGTATTTTCTAACCGATTACTCTAATTTGATACCCATTAATCACTAATACATTTCCCTCCCTGATTTTTAGCATGAAATAGGCAGGTTTCTCCCAGGTTTGGGTTTGGGAAGGTGTTCAAACCATGGCAGAAGATGTGGAAAAAGAGAACCACATGCAATCCTTTTTTCCCTCCCTCCCCTTCTTCCCCCCTTACAATCTCTTCCCATTTTTTGGTGTTTTTGGTCCTGTACAAAAAAAGAAAAGAGAGGAAATGGAGAAATGGAAATGGAATCTTAATCAAGTTGTCCTTCCTTCTCTTCTATTTCCTAATATTGGGTTCATTTTCATTTAATGTGAGATTATTCCGTGTCTCACTGGGTCTCATATAGGCTCACAAGGACTTGTGTGAAGTGAGAGATCCTTTTATAATCTTTCAAAACAAGGCAGTTGTAGTGCAAAGCATATGATTTTAGGTGAAGGGATGCCTTCAGTCCCTTCCTAGTAGTCAGCTCTCAATGAGCATTATATTTAGGAAGTTTTCTACAGACTTTAGTTAACTGTTAGGTAACTGGATAGTCTACATTAATTACCGGGTCATTAATTAAGTGTTCATGCTTTTCACATATACAGTAAATTTTTGGCAGAATTAATGGACCTACTGGTGGCCTTTTTTTTTTTCAGCTCTGCCTTCTGTGATGGTGGAGCCAGTAATCCAGAGTCGAAGCCCAGGTGAAAGTGCTCGGATGGAATGCTGGGTTGGGGGTCATCCTCCTCCTCAGGTTGAGTGGCTCAAGAATGATGACCCTGTCCATGTATCTCCTGAAGCCACTTTCCAGGTATCACTGCCCTCCTCAACAGATCCCCCTGGTTCTATGTGAGATGGCATCTGATGAATTCCTGTATTTGCATTCAAGGGACAGAATCTCCAAAGTTGTTTTCTCTGTGGTGTGTAGATTGATGACCTGCCTATCCAACTTTTAGTTGGAAGGCCTGCAAAGTCTGGCTTTGGTCTTTCAGCAGACATTAAACCTCTTATCCTGATTATAAATTTGTAAACTACAGGCATATTTGAGATATTGTATAGGCTGCAGGTTAATGTGAGTGGCATCATTCACCAGAAAAGAACAGTATGCACAGTACAACATGGTTTTCTGGGCATGGAACTGTTTAAACACTCTTGTAGAGACTGAAGATGCTACCGTAACTGCAAACATAGCAACTTCTGTGCAAGTTTTTGAATTGGTGTTACTCCTGCTAAGTTGTAGAAAGGGGATGAAAGTTTCCAACATGGTTTCTAAATTTTTCCCAGTCATTCTGTTTATCATCCTAGCTTGATTCTCAAGGTCTTTTTGCTTGTTTAAAGTTTTAGTCCTCAGGGACTTGGTGAGGAAGAATGCTGAAAGATTCCAAGATGTGTGAGATCTCTGGTCATCTTGACACTCAATGGTGTTGGTATATCTGCAGGTGGTTGGAGAGGGAAGAGAACTAATACTTGAGGGAGTGGATTATGCAGACACAGGAGCATACATGTGTCAGGCCAGGAATGTTGGTGGTCTTCATCGGGCCATCTCTTCCTTGGTCATCCAGGAGAACCCTCGATCTGGTTTGCCTTTCTCTTTGCTCATTTTTACAGGACTTCCCATGTTTGTAATGCTTTGCTTCCATTATGGTGTAACTTGACTCAGGTTGATCATCACGATGTGCATATAAAAAATTATTATGGATGTGGAACTGGAACTTGACCATTACTTATCTCTTTCACCACAAACAGGAAGGTTGCTTTCTCCATAAACCCATGCACACTAATGCTGACTACAGTGATGTTGCCAGCATTATTTAAGTATCTGTGTTTGCTATATTAAAAAAATTGTTCTGATGATTTTACTATACCAAGTTACTTCAAAGTGCATCTCTCAATGTATATTTCTAGTAATGATAATATTCAGCCTCCTGGAAAATCCTAGCTCCTGTAAAATGCAAGCTCTAAATGTCTACCATCGAACCCTATATGAGGAATGGTCAATGATATGATGGTGAAATGATTTTATTATATTTTATGACAGTCTCAACGAAAACAAGGGACCTCTTGGCTGTGTTTCATGGGGATGGGATTGGGATCTACAACTCCAGATCATGTCATGTGAAGCATGTCATTCAAGGCACTGATGTCATCCCTGGGTCCCAGTCATATGTTTGTCCAGATGCTATCACAAGACCTGGGTCGTGCGTTTGGGGATCGGCAGTTAACGTCCGCAACCTCTATTTCTATGCATCCCAGCCACAGCTCAATCGTGTCCTGGTCATCAGCCTTGACCAGATGGAGGTTGTGGATGTGAGTTCTTTTGTCTTCATTCATTTCATCTGCGATATTACCATGTTGGTCTTCCTGAGCTTACATATCTGACTTCATCAAGTGAAAGGCAGTTTTGTTCATTCCTCTTACATCAGCATGTGAGAATCTTGTGGATTGTGGTTAGTTCTTAGTTGAATTCATGGAGTTGATTGATGTCAAAGTATTACGTTTGAGCCTCTATTTACCTAGTACACTTTCTCATTCAGCTTGTGATGAAGCATTCTCTCTGAGTCTACTGGATGCAGTTTTCATGCAATACTGTTAGCTCTTGCCCTGATGTTTAAAACTTAAAGTACTAGCTTCTCCCCTTCTTAAATGAAACTATAGATCTTTAAAACAAGTAATACTCCCCCTCTATCTCTCATTAAGCCTATTTAGGCAAAAGGCTAGTCATTATACAACTTTGGGAAATTGTATGGCATGGGTAGGGGATTTAAGATGACTCATCTGTCTGGTGAAGAATAAAGGGACTGAGAAGAATTTGTGGATCTAGGTGCTGGCAACAAATAGTATACCTGTGGAGGTGTATTACATGGAATCCCAAGATCAAGTGTGGATAGTGAGTTGGATTGGAGAAGAGGATGGAGGAAACAAGAGCCTTGGAGTCGTTGTTAATGCATCACAGAAAGGACCCAGGAGTCTTCAACGTCTTGATTCCATGCCAATCTACCGGCTCTTCCTTCCCCCTCCTCAGGTTTTGCTGTCATTATTATGGGAAGTACAGAGGGATGAAGTGCTTCTAGAACATAGGCATAAACACTTTGCTGGGCTTTTGTCTTCCAAAGATTTTAATAGTTGCACATCAATATGCTGCAGTATTCCTCCATGTGATTGTTGCCTCTTGAAGTAGGCCATAGCTTTCAAAAGCTTAGCACTTCATTTCTCATTTTATCTGGAGATACTTTACTCTTCTGTATATTATGTAACATAGTATTTGGATCTCACCTTCATCCTAGTTTTCTAGAAGCTGCTGAAGTACATGAAGATTTCATCATATGCTTACTTGTGTAGGGACTGGGGGTGAGTTGGGGACATGGGTACGTGAGTAGGAAGGGAGAGTTGGGTCTCTACAAGCTTGATCTCATTACACTCAAGTTTGTCCTCAAGGTGGATCTATCCCCATACAAGTGCATCCCCAACCAGGTTGCCTTCATCTCCCGCAGTGCGTCCTGCTCCTCTCTATCTGTTTCGATGCAAGGCATTTGTGCAGCCTATTGACCCTATTGGAAAAGATAAAAGACTGTATGGAGTTGAATGACCAGTGGATGATGCCATAAACATTTGTCAAGGAAAGAGAAGTAGTTTGTGCTTATGGGAAAGGCACAGAAGCTGTTGTTCTTTCTTCTAAACTTTATACTCTCCTAAATTTGGAAAATTCACATTTTTTGACAGACAGGAAGCCATTAGGAAGAGAACTGCATTACTTTGACCCCCACTAGGGTGTCCAGATTTTTTTTCATGAGCCTACTTTCTTGAAAAAAAAAAACAAGAACAAAGGAAACTTTTAGTGTAATTTCTTGTCTGTCTTCCTGTCCAGGCTTTTGTCAACATTGAGGGAATGTGACTGCAAGAAAATTTTTACATTTTGAAGTAATCCTATTTTTTAAACTTCACACCTACTGTATTTTGTGAAATATCATCCAGTAACACATTTTTTATATAATCAATGAGAAATTAATAAAATCTGAAAGAGGCACTGTAGAGTAGATAACTATCTGTTTATCAATTTGGTGAATGACCATTCTCCTATAATCTTTGTATCCTCCATTAATTTTGCTATAACAACTGTGACAAAGCACTCAAAGGGGACTCTGCTAAACTAGGTTTTGCTCAGCTAATTCATCCATTTATAGTCACCCTGCCAGAAGAAAGTTGTATCTATGATTTACCCTTCAAGCCGTTTTCACGTACATCATACGTTCATCACTTAGGAGGTCAAGTCAAGATGTAAGTTATACTATTTGATTCTGAACAAGGAAACATTTTGCAGATGGGCAACTGGTGATTGAATGCCAAGATGCAGAAAGTGGGAAGGGAACAGGTCAGTTATTGATGGATTACATGACTGAAACCATACTCCAGTTCAAAGCCTCTGCCCCAGGAACCCCACATGTATCTCCGGATAGCCTCCATGTTGTCAATCTCCACCGAGAACCTTCTAACAGCATTCTTCTTGCAGTGCATAAGGTCACAGGTGAGCTCATTTCACTTGCTCTTACCCATTGTTGAGTCCTCTAGGGTCTTATCAAAATATGTATTTTAGAGACCGGACTGGAGTTTCAGTTTGATGTGCGGACGACTCTGAACGTGAGTGAGGTGGAGTTCTTCCCTTCAAGGGAGCACCATACCTATGACCTCTTTGCATCCAGTGTTCAGCGACCTGAGATCCTCTTCCTGAACATGGAATCAGGTCTCTCTTTTGCTCACAGATTCTTCCTTGGGATTATTGGTAGCTGGGTAATACGAGGGGGGCTTCAAAAAGTTCGTGGAAAAATGACATTAAAAAATAACAGTGAAAGATATAAACTTTATTTCTCAACATAGGCTCCATCAAGTTCAAGACACTTTTGTAAGCGATGATACCAGCCATTTAGTCCATCCTGAAAGAACTGTGGGTCCTGGGACTTTAACCATGTCAATGCAGTCTTTTTTGCATCATCAACTGAAGAAAAATGGGTGCCCTTTAAAGATTTTTTAAGATTAGGAAACAAAAAGAAGTCAGAAGGAGCCTAATCAGGACTGTATGGTGGATGCCTAATGATTTCCCATCGAAACTCTCGCAAAACTGCCCTCGTTTGATGAGAGGAATGAGCAGGAGCATTGTCGTGGTGGAAAAGGACTCTCTGGTGGAGCTTTCCTGGGCGTTTTTCTGCTAAAGCTTTGGCTAACTTTCTCAAAACACTCTCATAATAAGCAGATGTTATAGTTCTTTGGCCCTCCAAAAAGTCAACAAGCAAAATGCCTTGAGAATCCCAAAANAGGTTTTCCTTTTAAGTTTTGATGAAATAGGATTCTGCATTTCGTTCAGATGACGAGGTAGTCATGAGATATTATACCCCAGCCCTGGAGGAGGATCATGAGGCATTTTAACAATCAATTTAGAAGATAATTAGGCGTTGATGTGCGGTGGTGTTCAATTTTACATGGAAGATCTTGAGTGAGATATCGATCGAATTCTTGTAACCAAACGAAATCGTGTATAAGAAGATAGGTGTTACCGTAATGCGTGTGACTTGGTACCCGAAGGGTGCGTCACGAGGGACACTGGCCACGAATGGATGATCGTGATCCCCAAACACGAATTGGGGATCGTTGTCGTTCACGTCGTCCACGATCACTCTCACATCCACCTCATCCCGGCCTTATGAAAGCCAAGCAACAACTTTCACTGCAGTTTCTTTTTGTGGAAAGATATTGAAATCCACGCATATATTCTTTTCAAGCTACACATTTTCCACGAACTTTTTGAAGCCCCCTCGTATATTCCAATTATGTTTTGGTCATGTATGGTATCAGTATCATCTTAGGTAGCTATTGAGCTGTTTTTTTTTGGTTGAGTTCCTTGCTTTTTCCTGTGGCTGCACCATTCATAATTAGGCCTAATTATATTAGGAGAGGAATCTTAGTATACCAGTGCTCTCATGAAACTGTGGTCTCATCTATGCAAAATCATTTACATGCTCAATCCTTAAAGCATTATTTGTCAACCAGGAATTTGTAGTGCAACAGTTCTACTGCTGGCAGCTGGGACTTGTGTGCTTAAATATCTAAAAAAAATATGTAATTTAACTATTAAAGTTACATTTCAAACTTAGCAATATATAACACTTATGTGACAGCAAGCAGGATTCTTTGGGTTGATGTGTATTCCTCAGTATGAGGATGCCTAAAAATCAATTTTCATTTGTCTCTGAAGACAATAGTTTCCAAATTTCACCAAATTGGGCAACTGCTGTCACATGTGGTGTTTTCTCTTCAGTCACATCTGTGCTTTATTGAGCAGCATACATTTATGCTCAAATGATAATAATTGACTGTCCCAGTGTAAAAATAATATCTATCCTTCATGAATGTATATCTTGCATTACCTTCACCAAATCATACCAGATTATGATGAATTGGTGCCTCCCTGCAACATGTTTATATTTCTCCTGTTTTATTGTCAAAACAATACTAAATACAGATAGATTCTGCTGCTCAGAGCATGCATAAGTGGCTGATGAGTCTGTAGATCTGGGGACAAGAAGCTGTTGGCCTGTTTGAGAGACCTTTGAATATTGCTACCATAGTAATTGTATCCTTTCAGGTCACGTGGAAATGGTGGTTGGAATCGGAGAGGTACCTGATCCCCTCTATCCGAGTGCAAGGGGGGCAGTCCGCTCTCTTGCAGCAGCTCCTCTCTTCTCCCCACATCTGGCAACTGGGAGCCGCGATGCCGTGTTCCTTGCCACAGCCCACGACAAGAGCATCAGCTGCGAGATAGGCAGCCTTGTCCGACCCCATCCACTTGTCTGGCTCCGACCAGACTCCGAGCCCACTGAAGACTGAGTCCTTTTATTTCTAGTCTCTATATCCACTCTAGTCTGGTTATCCAATGTGATCTCATCTGATCTCCCACAATTTATGTTTTGAGTCCATTGAGTCTCATTCGAAACTTGAATAGCTTATAGACTCACAGATTTCTCTGCTGATTGACTGAATCACATGTCTTTGGTTTTGACTGGGAACTTTTTGATTGTGTAAGATTTCCCTCATGTTGTTGGACATTGATGACCCATTTCACACCTTTTGTTTGGAGATTTCAGCACTTTCAGGATGATCTGCTGAACTAGCAAAGAATGAATAGATTCAAAGTGAATTGGCTCTCTCTGAGCTCCAGTAGCAAATGTGAGCTTTGTATGAGAAGCTAATGGCCATTAAGATTACCACACCTGAACCTGTGGATAGAGATGTGGGTGTGTATCTGTATGAGAATTTTCCAGTGGGAATTCACCCCAAGCTATCCAGTGATGCATCTGATGAATGTATCAATTTGTGTACTGTAGAGTTAGGTACAATGTGCAATACTGTAGGTACATTTAAAATAATTTCCTGTTATGTATTAGTCAGGTGTGTGCCATCCCCTTCTTTGGAAAATTAACTTGATATGGGAAATCTGCCTCTCATCATTTCACTCATTCATTTGGTATTAACATGCACCATTTCAATAGTCAGTAAGAGAATCCATGAAATATGATTCTATGTGTTCTAATGATGTCATCAGGATGTGGGTAATTGACGAAATGTGATAATCTGGAATTTTGGATCTCTGGAAGTTGACTGTGGAACAATAAACACTTCCTAGTCCTTCTCAGCTGCCTGTTTTTTTTTTTCATGAATGCATGGTATGCAGTAAAATTCAAATTCTTCATGTGCTGATCAACCGGTACATGGATTATTCTTGCACAAAAAAAAAACTAATTATTGATGACTCGCGCCCCTTTGAGGAAAAAAACCTTACTCGGCGATGGACTCCCCTCCAGTAACTCGGATATTCCGGGTTCTATTGTGGGACTATATGGTCAAAATAGTTGATAAGTTGTTCTACTTGTGAACACTTGCGAGAGCGTTGATTGCGTCAACGTATGAAATCTTGTATTCTTTACAATGCTGTGGTACACCGCAGCGAAGGGTATCTTGGGTTCAAAAGGTAGAAGGTAGTGTAAGAACACAATGTATTACAGTCCGAGACTCCTACCAGCAACGCGAGATGGCGCCAGGGAGCCACGATCTATCTGCACATCTGTTAGATTAATCCGAGTCGCTGGGGCAACCCCACTGGGGTTCTGACCTTGTTTCCCTTTTCCACCCGGCAAGTAATATAAAGATTACTTCAGACGAGTAGCCCGGAACTTAAAACGAATCCGGGGGAACATGAAGAACCGTGTCTCCAAGGGAAGGGAGAAAGGCAGCCCCGAGATGACACGGATCCGGCGATAAAATTACGGGGCTCTCGAGGGAACTGAGCTTATCCTTTGAATTGCTGGTCCTGTCATCTGAAAAGTTTTGGGGGTTACTGGACCCCTGTGAGTGAGAGCCCGCTAAAGAGCGGGACAAGCAGTAAGGTGTCTAGGTGTCCCTGCGGGAGACAGAGAGACCAGCCCAATCATCGCCGTTCGACCGTACCCGCCGCCACAGTTGTGTATTTCTGTACCATATTTTGTGAATATATTTCTAGGCTTGCTTCTCAATAAAGCCATAATCTACCCTGTTGGAGCCCTGGTGAGATCTGGGTTGTCATATTGTTCCTGACTTCGGCACGCCTTGAGATCAGGCCATGTGCCCCGATCCGACCACGGTAGCTACAGTGGGATTCGCTGGCATTTCCAAATGACAGGTTTCTTTTTTAATTTTTAATGTATTGGAGAACAATAAATATCGAAAAAGTTGAGAGACTTTTGTAACCACGTTTGAATCCACGTTTGTAACCTCACACACGAAGTCAATCGCATCCCCACGCCGTTTGGCCGAAAGAGAGAGGCATGTGACCAATATAGGAAAACGTGAGTTGTTCCGGAGGTTGGATTTCACGCAGACGTAATTTACACTTCTAAAGCTTGATGTTCTGAAAAATCGCAATGAGCGAACAGCAAAGAAACGAACAAAAGAGTGCATTGGCCTCTTCGGAGAAAGAGAGACAGTCCATGGAGTGACGAACTAGGTCAGCTCACGTCGTCTGCTCGTGAAGACGAGACACCCAACAGGCACGTAGACGATTGCGCATGCGCTCTAGAGGTCACTACCTGAAAGGCTATAGTTTTGCCACCTTCGTGATTTCTGCACTAGGCCTAGGCCAAGACCAACGCTGTTTGCTGAAGAGGTGGAATGGCGTGCCATGCACGACAGACGTTCGGTTCCATTCAGTTATTCATGCAGCTGAAGAACGCTGGGAGACTTTTGAGAGATCTCGGATGTCCACAATTCTCCCATGGCTCCTGTACATGAAGTCAGAGATTCCGAATTCACGTGGAAAGATAGGCCTAAAGGTGCATATGCTGTAATCAAGTCCCCAGCGCAATGGAGTAGGTCACGCCTAACGTAAGAGCGTGGTGATAAGTGCGAAGTAACAATTTGCCTGCTTCGAGTTTGCTCAACATGGCGGAAAGTGTGTCTGCTGGTAGTGCATCACTCAGTGCATCTGAGAGGCGCCCTCCAAGTCTTGCCATCAGTTCCGCAAATAAAATCTCCTCTGAATAATGTTCCGGCTGATTCCGAGTGCCCTGCAAGTCAGTGTGTCGCAAAGACTGCCTCAAAGAGTCATCGTAAAATGGGCTGCAGCTCAGTTAACCAATGCCTATCGAGAAGACTGGCTGACGTCAGGTTTTCATCACGCTACGCCTCTCTGCATCGGTCTGTCTTTCGAAATCCTTTCTTCCGTAACTCACTCGTGGCTATAGGCGATTGCATTGTATTGCTTGCACACATGGGATGAGACGAGGAACCAATGAATACGATACGGCAAGAATGAGAAGCGACAAGGCCTTCGTAGAGTATATTATACTAAATGGCAGCGTATTTTTTATAACATTTGAGAACGTGAACGGTATGGCCATAGCATCTAAGCAGGTATGAATGCCGCATAAATCAGGTTCTTCCACCCGCTATTCTCATCAATCACGGCCTTCATCACGATAAGAAGAAACCGCAATTAACCCATTGAAGCTCAAGTCAGCATCTTGAATACATAGCCGCACCAAACAGAAGGGGATTGGGGAGTGGTAGGGGGTGGGGGTAGGTTGCCTATTTCATTCACCCAAAGATTTTGAACTCAGGTGAAAATAAAACTGGCAAGTAACACTTGGATGGGGGCGGGACGTAAAAGTAAGTCACTTGCCCCTTATTCGTGCTCAAACTTTCAGCTATCCCACTAGGTTGATGGAAATAGTTAAAGGAAGAGCATGTGAAAAATCCCGTTTCACGCTCATGTGGATCGTCGGCGACGGATCTGCCGAGAGAAGGCAGGCTGTTCCGTCTAGTGGACCAGCAGCCCCTACTTTCGTTCCTCCCTCCCCCCCAGGAAGCATTCTTTTTAAAGCTGAATTACATCAGAACAGTCAAATGAAATTAAAATTCCAAATATTAGTATAACTTTTGGTTTGAAACGAAAGGATGCTTTACAATTCTGACGGGTATGCAGCTCGTATTTCTTAGAATCACCCTGTTCTAATCCGTGTGTTTTTATTTTTACAATTTGAAGTTCATAGTCCAAACCGCACCGCATATATTCCTTCATACGGACTTGAGCCTATTCCCCCCCACCCCAGTTACTGGCATCAAAAGAGGGATCGGTTAGAAGCTTGTTGCATCGGCTTAGGTTTACTAAGATGAACAGCTGCAGATGCATAGTATGGAGAGGAACCATCACAACCACGAATAAATTACTTTATTATAATAAAAAATATAATAAACTAAAATATATGAATTGGAGACGTTCATGGATAGAGGAGATTGGAGGCTTGCAATTCTCGTTTCGTGTTAGGTACTTAGCCATTCCTCTTCATATCATTTAGTTCGGAGTGCTTGATGAAAAGGAGTATTGCCACAGGAATGCAGATGCTGCTTGTCAATATTTACAATTACTGAACCTCGGGAGAATGTCGTGGATGCAAGGTTTGTCGTTTCGTTGCGAATGGGAATAGGCGGAATGACTTGATATGAATTGCAGATTCACCGACAAGCAAGACGGACAGGCTAATGCCACGCGCGAAAACAATTTCAGAGTTGATCATTGAGATACGTGCAGTGACACTCGGGACATTCGGTCGTTGTCGGGACTGTCCTTCGAGGCAAGGTGTCCTCATTGTCCAGCACGAAATCCGAATATTCGTTGTTCCTGTTCCGATTCCGAGCAGGGACCGGAGGCGGGACAGCTTTACAGATGCACCCATCCACGAAGTTCCTTTCGGTGTGACGTTGGTGGTGGTGGCGAAGGTGATGAACGGATCGTTGACGATTGGATCGTCTCAGTCCATTGCCGTTGTCATGGCCGGCCAGGTTTTGGAGACTGAGCCGGCTCCCGTGCAGGTGGATCTGGTGATCCAGGGATGGGTATCGCTTCCCTCCGCCCAGCATCAGGTTGTCTGGGGAAGTGCCCTCCGATGAAGTGGGAGTGCTCTCGAGAACGGTGAAGCTGCTATTACGGAGGGCGGTGGTGGGCCATGGGCTATTCTTTCGTACCAGACCTGGGTCTATTGTTTGTCTTCCTCCCCGGTACCTGTTTCGATACCAAATATAGACTTTGTTCATCTCAAGTGCACTTCCGTGCAAGTTACACAATCGTGCACAAACACTACATGTATTTTTGTACGAGGAAAACATCCGCTGCCTGTCATCGCTTCGAATGGCAGAGGTCATCTAAGTACTGAATGCCATATTAATAAGGTGCTGTCTAAAATAACAGCCTCAGCCTATGATGAAATCGTGATAACGACTGCAACACCTCCGACGAACTTTGTTCGCTTCCCTGTTCGATATGACGTTAGATCTGGCTCAAAAAGAAGAGGACGTGGAAACGGGAATAGTTTCTTCCACTTCGGAATTGATCTCTCCGTGGAGACTAATTCCCATCCTAAAGTCAGCTATGAATAGTAGGGGAGGAGACGCGGGACAGCGGGCGGACAAACACATTACCCAAACCTATAGTAATTCCCAAGAGGAGTAGGCGACCCTCGATATCTCCGGGATGGGATGAAGCGGACTTTCATGATGACGCCATTGTTGCGCCATCTATAATTATAAATCGGTATAAGTCGTGCATTCAGGAAGACTCCGTGTGAACCTAAAACTGAAAAATCGCGGGGTCGCTTCTGCAAAGAATACGACGAGGTTTTGCCAATGAAGGTACATACTTGTTTTGCTTGATGGTGCAGACGATGATGAGGGTGATGAGCGTGGCAAGGAAGATGATAGCACCGACGACGATCATCACGATCTCGGCTGTCCTCAAGGACAGTCCTTGAAGGCCGTAAACTTCAGCCGTGCCTCTGATTCTCATAACTCCGATCGCCTTCAAACCCCCACTCGTCTCTCCCTTATCCCCCAACAACCTATGAAAAATCCCCTCTTCATGTCTAAATTTTGGAATTTATGAGACACTAGCAAAATGATATTATTCCCCTTGCATCGTTTAGAAATAATTTCCCTTTTTATTTTCCGGCATCGTTTGACGGCTCTTACTTGAGTAGCGTTGCTGAGTCGATGATGGCATGCTTCTCGGCATCTACCCCATACACATACAGGTCCGTGCTGCAACACGGCAGAGAGTCATGTTCAAGTATTCATGGAATCCATAATGCAAAGATAATGTTGGAAAAGATTGAACTGACAGGGCGGGGTCAGCGAGGTCTCCGTCCACGTGGGCTTCCACCTTCCTCACGCGCAGGTCTGCTTTTGTTATGGCACTCATATTCCTGTGTCAAACCGAACCGAGTCAAACCATCGTTTGCACCGCAAATGACATTACGCAGTTTAATTGTATGAAATTAAGCACTATGGCGAGATCTACCGCAGTATGGCATTGAGCGACTCTTCTACTTCATCAGGACTGGCATCGAGTGTTACCACGGCTTGTTCCTCCTCCTCCGTCACATAGATCTGCGATGTAGCACAGCATGAAACCGCTATGTCACATCTTGGGCCAAAAAACAGAGATAGAGATGAGATGAGGGATTACTTACAAAGACGTTGGCGACGACGGAGTGGCCGCTGGGTCGGCCGTCTTCGTCTGAGGCCTTCACGTCGAAGCCGAAGATCTTTCTTGTGGTTGAGTAGGGGAGAAGACCTCCCGTGACCTTTACTCTCACTTGACCTGTCTCAGGGTGGATTCCAAACAACTCCGACTCGTCCTCCTCCTTCGACAGGATCGTGTAGTGAATCTTCCCTCCCACTCCAGCATCCTTGTCTTCCGCCTGCAATGCCATCAAGTAGTAGGATGATTTACGCTTCAGTTCCGTATTGGTCTCTGTTTCGGCTTTATTCTGATTCCTGACTAAAGTGAGACCGAACTGGAGTTTTGAAATCACTCGCGGCTTCTCTCGATATTTTTGCTCTAGCGAGGTTTATTGTACCGTTCAGGTTTTCCTTTTAAGTTTTGATGAAATAGGATTCTGCATTTCGTTCAGATGACGAGGTAGTCATGAGATATTATACCCCAGCCCTGGAGGAGGATCATGAGGCATTTTAACAATCAATTTAGAAGATAATTAGGCGTTGATGTGCGGTGGTGTTCAATTTTACATGGAAGATCTTGAGTGAGATATCGATCGAATTCTTGTAACCAAACGAAATCGTGTATAAGAAGATAGGTGTTACCGTAATGCGTGTGACTTGGTACCCGAAGGGTGCGTCACGAGGGACACTGGCCACGAATGGATGATCGTGATCCCCAAACACGAATTGGGGATCGTTGTCGTTCACGTCGTCCACGATCACTCTCACATCCACCTCATCCCGGCCTTATGAAAGCCAAGCAACAACTTTCACTGCAGTTTCCAGACACTGAAGATAGTAAGCTGTAGAATGTGAGGAAGAACTCACCATCTTGGGGATTCCCAAACTGATTGGAAATCCGTTCAGTAGCCTTTATTCTGATCAAATGCTCTCCGACTTCTTCTCTATCCAGAGGCACCAGGAGAGACAAAACGCCGGTGTCGCTATCCACATGAAACGTCCCGATTCCTTTTCGACTGACCATTTTGAAAAGGAAATCACTCTCTTGCAAGTCTTCTCGCAGGTCTATGTCCAACAGATCGATCGGGGTATCCAAGTTTTCTTCCACATGGACGACGTATTGTCGACTGGGGAAATAGTGGCCGTGGATGACCTCCGGCACGTCTGTCACATCCACCTTCACCAGAGCCGTGGTGCTGAGAGCCTTGGGCTTGCCCAAGTCGTAGGCGATGGCACGGAACTGATGAGAATGCTTACTTTCGTAGTCCAGGGGTCTCGTGGCAAACACTGCACCTGATTTTGTGTCGACGCCGAAGAGTCCATCATCGTATTGAAGTCGAAAGAGCACCATTCCATTACCAGTCTCGACGGAATCGGTGTCGTTGGCATGCAACAACACCAGAGGTGTGCCTGGCTCGCTGTTCTCTGGAACTTGAGCTGTATAAACCGGCAAGTATTCGCCTCCATCAGTGTCAGGCACGTACTCGATCCGGTCGTGGCCGAAAAAGCGGGGGACGTTGTCGTTGACATCTTCCACGTTGATGACGATGCTGGCTGTTCCTTCCAGGGATGGCTCTCCGTGGTCCACCGCGAACACGGCAAGGTTTACCACTGGCGTCGATTCTCGGTCGACACTTCCGATCACAGTCACCTCACCGCTGAGGGAGTCCACCGCTACCCGGAAGGATGCAGACAAGTTCTCTCGCAACGCGTAACTAATGGCTCCGTTATTCCCTATATCTTCGTCGCGGGCGACCACCCGACCGACGACGTGGGACATCCCATACTCTCCTTCCACGATGGAGAACTTGTAGGTCGATTGTTGAAAAACAGGATGGTGATCGTTGATGTCTTGGACATGGATCAGGATCATCTGGGTGGACATGAGTCCTCCTCCATCGACAGAAGAGACATTCAGATGGATTTCCGACCCACCCTGCAAGGCCTTGGACACGATGACGTTTCCAGTCACAGCATTCACCTTCATGTAGGAAGAACTCCTAGATCCACTGAGTGTCACCAATTCTTCCGAAATGATGTCGTAAGATGCGTCGCCGTTTTCGCCGATGTCATCATCGATAGATAGGAGAGTCCCGATCGAGGAGCCGATAGGAACATTCTCCGGCACCTGCACGTGCACTTCCCGAGTATTGTGGACGTTGGAACCGTCTGGCGTTACGATAGAAACGTGTATATCCGATGCCAGGGACCTCAGGCTGTTGTTGAAAAGTAGGGGAAATCCAAACTCGTCCTTGGAGGGCTTGAACACCAGCTCTGGTTGATGATCGTTATCATCATTGACTGAAATGGTCAACTTAGCCGTCACATTGTATCGACCCTGGATGGCGACCAATAGTAAATTATAGGTCGCTTTGACCTCTCGGTCTAGCTTGGCAGTAGGTGCGAGGAAGATTTGTTTCCGTTGTGGATTCAATTCGAACAGTTCCTTATCGTTTCCTTGGAGAATCAGCCAATATAAGGCATTCTCACCTTCGTCGGCGTCAAAGACTCTGATCTTGGGTTTGATGTCCACTAATGTCCCTGGTGGAGAATTCTCTTGAATGTAACCTCGATATTCCGGGTCCGAGAAGGTGGGAGGGTTGTCGTTCTCGTCCGTCACCTTTACCTTTACATTCACCACTCCCTCCAGCTTCTTCTGATTCTGCTGGACCAGGATTCTGAGATCGTAACTGGGCGTCTTTTCCCGATCGAGGCTTTGTCGAGTTTCCAAAGTCCCATCGTTCCTGATCCGAAAGACTTTGGTCGCTTCCGGATCAGGGATTTCAAAGGTCAAGGTCACGAGCCGAGACTCCTTCACCTTGATCTTCCCGACCTCGGCATGCAATTGGTTCTCAGGGACCTTGAACTCGTAGGGCCCAAGTTCAACCATATTCTTGTCCTCGGGAAGGACGAGATGGATCGTCGTGTTGGTCGTTACAGTGTGATTTCCATCGCTGACTATTGCTTGGAAGAAATAATGGAGCCGACCGTATTTCTCTAAATCATCCCAGATGGCTATGATCCCTGATCTCTCCTCCACGGCAAAAGGAACTGAAAGAGAGGTAAATGGCATCATTGACTATTGGAAGCGATTGCATTTCTATGGAGCGGCTTAGCTCCTTTAAGTCAACTGGCATCTTCCTCGGAAGCAAATTGTATGGGATATTAAGGCAAATAAAACAAACGTTGATAGAAGAAAATAATTTAACTGTATGACACTCATCGTCTTTAGGACGTGGTAGTTCAGGCGTCAGAAGCTCTACATGGATATTTTCCCTGATTCCTTATGATATTGGCTTTTCCTGGTTTCCCGAAATTTCCAGTTGCATCTGAAAAAATGACTTTGAAGCTCCTCATTATAACCTTGTCCTATAGTGAAGAGGTTCTTGTTCTCTTAGCACTTTCAGAGGAACCTGAAGCGCAAATGCATTCATGATCCTCACAAGTAATCAGAACTGTCTCTTGTTCCTATCATTTGGTGCCTTGAAAAGGTGATAAAGAATTTAAGATCGACACGTACCTCCCTCTCGATACTTGTGAAGGAGGTCGTATTCAAGGACGTCTCCGTCGGGGTCTGAGGCCTTGATCTGTCCCACAATAGTCCCAATGGGTACCTCCGCCCCGATCCAGAACTCTAACGGAGCCCCAACGATGAACGGAGGATGTTCGTTCCGATTGGACACGAAGATGTGGACGACGGCCAAGGAGGATCGGGTCTCTGACGGGTTCCCCGGGGAATCCGTTGCCTCCACGAACAACGTATATGGTATGGCATACTCCAAGGTCCTGGACACCGTGAGCGTCCCGTAGTGAGGATCCACCTGGAAGGGATTTCCCTGAGATTCCGGTCTGATTCCGGTCACCCGGTATTTCACCATTCCGTTCAGCCCCGCATCTGCATCTTCTGCTACTACCTGTTCCAAATATACGCTCGCCGTTGATGATATTCAAAGAAATTCCATCAGTAAAAACCTTCAGGATGTACGGATAGGCGTTGTTGAATGTCTACGTGAAAAGTTCACTTTGTCGAACTTCAGCAATAGATTAGATTTTACCAAATATACTCAGGATTTAGATTCTCCTCAGGATTTTATGTTTGTTTGTGTCTCATGTTATGACGATCGCCTGTGTCTTGACTGTGACATGAAAAGATTTGAGGGCATATCCTGTTTATGATGCCTCAGGCCGTCGCCTTTTCATGCTGCTCAAGCATGGAATAATATCACCCATGACCATAGTGATGGATTCATGCCTCCACGTTTCGTTGCTCATAATAGATTGGTCCCAGGGCCTTTTTGAAATTTTAAATCTTGGATGATCGACAACGACGTTCCTCAGTATACACCACTGATGCTTACAACCTCAGACATGGCCGGCAACTCAAGGCCGGTAGCTTCCTATCGAAAAAAGTGGAATAATTTTTCATCTGCTTTCACTGCTTTCACTGTGTCCCAGTAGTTTTCCAGCTGTAAGATCCCCACCCCCGAGAACTCATTTACACACGTGTCAACCCCGATTCGGTGAGTACCCACCTGTCCAATGATAGTGCCGACGGAAGCGTCTCTAGTGATGTTGAAGGTAAAGACGTTGTTCGGAAAGAAGATGGGGCTGTTGTCATTAGCATCCAGGAGATGGACCTCTATTGTGGCCCTTGTTTTCCCCGCTTTCTCCATCACGTTCGGCTTGGCTTCCCTGGCGGACACGGTCATTCTCACCATAGGAGTCGTTTCTCGGTCTAGCAGGGAAGAGTCTTTCACCGATAACCAGCCTGTATGCCCGTCTATGGTGAATGGACCGTACGCTTCCTCCAGGCCATATACGAAAGCCGCATTCTCATCCTACAAGTCAGGCGGTAACGAATGCAATGGTTGCGATCTCGAAGTGAAATAAGAAATGTGGTCAGAAAAAGGAGGGATGGAAATTAAATATGGTGTAGAAAATTAAAATTAAAAGTAACAGCAACTCGAAAAAAAAAACTAAATTTAAAACATGAAGAGCTAACAACACCTTATATGAAGTCGAATCTCGCATGGGAAAGGATGTCCGAATAAACTAATGGTTCCCGTACTGGACAAAGCATGCAAATGTGAGGACGAAATTGAGGGTGGATTTTTGAACAGAGCACTACCCGATAATTTAGCTTTATTTACCGGATTTATAATGCATTTTCTCTGAAATAAAGCAGCATTGTCGGATAGTGCTCTGTTCAAAAATCTACCCTGAATGTGGGTCTGTCCACGGTGTCGGACGTGACATACGGAGTAATATGTTTAGTATACAAAATTTTTAAAACTATATTATGGATGACGAATCCGCATATAAAGGCTGCAACAATTTACTTCGGGTATTGACTGAAAATTCCATAATCCAAAGTTTTGCACTCTCTCTTTTGTTAGAGGTGTACCTATAAGCAAAGAAAAGTGTCAGACGTGACTTTTCGTGAACCCTCAAGTCGAAATCACTTGCTATAATGTTCACATATCTATCATCGAGCGGACCATAGTAATTTAGTTTCATGTTCATTCTAGAGATTGAATGAAAGCCTGGAATTAGTGTAAGTCACCCCAAGCTTACAACACTTGAAACAGAAAGTAAACCTATTTTGTAACGGCGTCAAATGACAGGAGAGTGTTGGATGTGGCATGTTCTGAAAATGTATTTCGAAATAAGAAGTCTGTACATACCTTTTAATTTTATTTTAAAGATATCATTCAAATGTGAAAAATTGACATCTGCTCTTCACACCTGAGTTGATTCGAAATTATCACTATGCATGGAAAGCCCATGCTGGCATCTGTTCCAGCAGTCCAATTCAGTCTCTCCAGATTTGCATTTTTATCACATTTTTGAGTATAATGAGAGTGGTATGAATAATATATCATAATCATGACTAATTCTTTCATTTTTCAATGTAATATTCTCTTTCATTCATGTCTTCTGCGAAAAGAGATGAACTTCTGTAGCGAAAGTAATATTTGCATATTTAGGAAAATTTTCGGCTAAAATCCTAGGACCACTTGGCGTGGACAGAACCACGTACAGGTTGATCTTAAGGTCAGTGAGAAGCTTCAATACCGCATAACTTCATTGGTATTTGTTTTCCAGGTCATTTGAATTCAGCATTATCGACTGCTGCATAACTGTGTTTCTGGGATAAGGATGAGAAGCTCTATTCATTGGCCTCAACTAACATGATACTAACTTTAATATGATTCTAGTGCGTATTTCTTTTCGATTAACAATTTATTGTGATTTTCTTTCTCTGAGGTGCTTTAAGTCCCTAGTGCAGGCCCAGTATTGCTATTGGAAGAACCAAGTAGGAGTTCAATCGATTGGGACTAGCTTCCTGCTTCCCACTGTTCTTCGACATTAGACAGAGGCTATTATCGCGTTTAAAAGTCAGAATAAAATATAAATAGAAGTACAAAAGTTATGCGTGAGTGAAATCTTTCAGTGAATTTATGATTGCTTTGTGATGAATACTTGTATGTGCACAGGAAGAATAAAATAGCAAACCTGATCGCGGTCGAAGGCATAGACTTGGACGACACTGAATCCGTTTGGAAGGTTTTCCATGATGCTGATATTATAGAGATCGGCGCTGAAAGTGGGGATGTTGTCGTTGACATCCATGACTTGGATCTCTACCATGGCAAGGCTGTGCCGACCGTGGTTGTTCGTCTGAGTTGCACTGATTTGCAGGGAGAACCCGCTATTTTTTAACGCTTCTCGGTCAATCTGGGATAAGAAGTGAGCGCTCAAGTTCATGTGATTAAAAAAATCCCTTATCTTGTTCTATGAAATACTTTGAAATGAAATGGCACGGCGTTACATTTTTAAGCCAAAAAACATAAATTATTGTTTTACTCGGAAGTGATTTGGATGGTGTCGATGACCTTGCTCTTGGAAAGGAAATGGAACCCTTACCTCTTTAACGAGGAAGAGAGATCCAGTCCTGGAATCTATTTCAAAGAATCCATACTGGTCCCCGGAGAGAATGGAGTAGACGAGGGTCTCGTTCATCCCTAAATCTTGGTCATAGGCTCGGATTCTTGGTTCAGTCTTCACCTGCCTCTTTATCCGATTTCCCTACAATTTGTTAAAGTAAAAAAGTTTTAACTACGGATAATTAAATATAAATATAAGACACCCCTGAGTTAGGCAAAAGCATAGTTGAAAGTAAAATGTCATCTGCCTTCTTTCCTTGTTCATAATTAGTATTGTTTGTTGGTTTTTTTTTATGAGAAGGGGGGGAAGGAAAGGTCATTAGATGCTTTCATACTTTTTCTGCAATGGATTATGGATAATATCTGTGTAGGCTTTCAGAATCGACTTTTTCCCACCCGGAAGACCGATGAAAATAATGTACTAAAGGGAATAAAAATACCGTGATATAGGCATCCTCGACGACAGTCCCCCGATAGAGATTTGAGGTAAAGATGGGGTCCTGATCATCGTTGTCCAGCACTTCAATATGGACCGACGTCGTTGATTCCTGTGGTGGCTCTCCTCTGTCCTGCATCAGTCCAATGGTAGCCTCTTTATTAGTAAAGTTAGTTTGTCTCCCATCTATTTTTCAGCGGTCTAGTTATCGATTGTATAGCTGTCATATTTGGCAAAAACTCCTTTAGCGCTGATATTTTTCTTATTTTCATCTTCATACCATCAGGTATGAAGTGTACTTCCAAAAGCTCTTGGGAGAGGTTTTTTCTTCCTATGATGGCTGTTCTAGCTCATCATGACAGGAGACATCTGACGGAAGCCACCTATGCTGACATGAAGTCCCTTGCTCCAGACGCCATGGAATTCTTAAATTACCTGCTTTCACTTCTTGAGATTAAAATGAACGGTGCCGCCAGACGCTAGGTTCCTGCAATTATCCGAAACAGCTGCGAAGTCTCCATCCCGAAAATACCTCATAAAGAACGCCATTCCTCGCTTCTACCGAAAAGCGAAAAGTTACGTATTTACGTATTACAGAGGCTGCCCCAGCTTTATTTGACCATATTTGATTCAGAATATTGTACATTTTTACTACTGTACTTCTTTCAGACACTATCATGCTCCATCTCCCGTCCCGATTCGGAAGAAATGATTCTGAAGAATAGTCCTGCTCCTCAATGTCTTCTCTACCAGAGCTCTACGGAGCACAGAAATGCACAATTTCTCTCATTCCTCATTGACGACTTTCCAAAGTCCATCTCAAAGTTTTCCGGCTCCGATTCACAAGGACCCACTTCTGGAACCCAAGCTCACAGAAATCTAAAACTTGTTTAGGTAACGAAAACCCTGGTTTTGACAGTAAATATATTGATTCATTCCACAAACGGAAAGGTACAATCAAGCGTCATAATATATTTCACCGGCCAGGTGGCGCTCGCATAATTTTCATGTATTTGTATTCCTCTCCATGATGCAGACGACATGGACTTTCACCGCGTGTTTTCCTTAAATTTTGAGATTCTCATGAATGACCCTTCTGATAGTTCCCTTGAACACCGGCTGTTGACGTGCAAGTAATCTCCTGCTGGGTTGATTTCAAAGTTCGCGAAATGAATAACTTTAGACAAAAGTTCTTGTATCGTACCGGTCTTGCGTTACGTTTTATGTCTGAAATTCACGAATTTCATCCTTTCTCGCCTCTTTACATTGCAAATAATATTTGAGACTGTTCCTTTGGAAATATGGGATCCTTTCAAGAAACACGTGTTAATTTTCATTTTGTGTGAGATGTGCGTGAAACGTCTTCCCATGAAGACGTTTCACGCACATCTCACACTGCACATCTCCACGACCCAGTCAACGGTCATCATTAAACGCCAACGCAATGACCCCTTTTCCCCCATAATAAAAGTTGACTTTTTGCCCAAAAATAACGTGCCACACGAAAGATATATATCCTTTTCCCATATGAGTAAATGCATTTTGAATATGGTCAAATAAAGCTGGGTCAGCCTGTATATACGGGCAAGGCTTTTGAAACTGTGCAATCTGTGCCATTCCAATCGGATGTCATGCACATCCTAGAGATACTGGAGACTCAATAGAAATGCCTATACCCAAGTAGCAAGGGATCATCCCTGGGACATCCCATTTGGATCCTACGTGGGACAAAATGCCATCCCATGGATGTCATAATGAAATCGTCCCGGGATATGGAAATCCCTGGAGCATTCAGAGGACATCCCGTAAGGTTAGAAATACTCTCATCCCATACACCAAATCCTTAGTGTGTCCATAGGACGTCCATTATGGGATACATCCACATCCTGCAACGGACGTCCTATGGACATACTAATGCTCTGAATGCTCCAGGGATTTCCATATCCCGGGACGATTTCATTATGACATCCATGGGATGGCATTTTGTCCCACGTAGGATCCAAATGGGATGTCCCAGGGATGATCCCTTGCTACTTGGGTGAGAGGCTAAACATCAGGAAAAGATATGGAGGTGACAACTGGGAAAATGTAGCCGCAGACATAAGAGCAGTAGGAGAGGAGGTGCTGGGAAGAACAACTGGTAGGTCAAAGCCAGGAAAGGAGACGTGGTGGTGGGGTGAACAGGTCCAGCGATGTATCCAGGCAAAGAAGATGGCAAATTATAACATCCCAGTGGAAGTTTGGAAGTGTTTGGGGAAAACTGGAGTGCAATATCTGGCACATGCATTGGGCAAGATCATGGAAGAGGAGAGGATACCGGAAGAATGGCGAAAGAGCACATTGGTACCAATCTACAGGAACTGTGGAAACTACAGAAGTATAAAACTGATGAGCCACACGATGAAGCTGATGGAGAGAGTGATTGAGAACAGATTGAGGAACATCGTGAAGATTAGTGAGGAGCAGTTTGGTTTCATGAGGGGAAGGTCGACTGTTGACGCAATCTTTGCTTTGAGGCAACTACAAGAGAAGTACAGAGAGGGACGGAAAGACCTGCATGGTATTTTCATAGATTTGGATAAGGCATATGACAGAGTACCAAGAGAAGAGTTGTATTGGTGTATGAGAGAAAAAAAAGTACCAGAAAAATACATCAGGATTATCCGAGATATGTATACGCAGAGTGAAACAGTGGTGAGGTGTGAAGCAGGAACTACGGAGCCTTTTAGGGTTGAAGTTAGTTTACATCAGGGATTAGCCCTCAGCCCTTTCCTGTTTGCTATTATATGGACTGCTTTACTGAGGAGATCAGAGAGGAATCCCCATGGCAAATAATGATTGCAGATGACGTTGTGCTGTGTGCTCCAGAAAAGGAGAAACTGGCGGAAGATCTGGAAAAGTGGAGAAACGCACTGGAGAGCCGAGGAATGAAAGTGTCAAGATCAAAAACTGAATATATGTGCTTAAGTGGAAACGAATCTAACAGTGTGGAGTTGCAAAACGATTTAGTGCCAGTAACGAGCAAATTCAAGTACCCGGGAAGCATGCTATCAAAGGATGGGTGTATGGATGATGAGGTCAGTCGCAGGTTGATGAGGTTGCAGTCGGGTTGGAACAGTTGGAGGAAAATGTCGGGAGTCTTATGTGACAAAAAGGTACCACCAAGAGTGAAGGGGAAGATCCACAAAATGGTCGTGCAACCAGCAATGCTATATGGCATGGAGACGGTGCCCATGACAGGCAAGCAGAGCGGGAGGTAGGAGGTGGCGGAGATGAAAATGTGTAGATGGTCATGCGGATGGACGAGGAGGGACCAGAAACGGAATGAGGAGGTGAGGGGGAAGTGGAGTGTTGCATCAAGAGAGCACGGTTGAGATGGTATGGACATGGGAAAAGAAGGGAAGAAACCTATGTTGGAAGAACAATGGAGCTGGGTTTGCCCGGAAAGAGAGGAATTGGAAGCCCTAAATGGAGATGGATGGATTGTATGAGGAAGGACATGAGAGGTATTGGTGCTGAGGAGGAGGATGCCCAGGACAGAGACAGATGGAGGAGATTGGTGTCTGCTGCAGCGACCCCACATGAAAGTGGGAACAGCTAGTAGAAGAAGAATTCATTAGGTCTGGTGATGAAATCATTTGGTGATGGTAATAGGAATTTGGTCATGTAAATTCATTGAGTGAGAAAATAAAATCTGGTGATGAATCTTTGTGACGGAATCAATATTATTTGGTGATGAATTAAATACTAACCTTGAAAAAACCTTCCCTTGTCAATTTCATCTTTCTTACCAAACAACCAAAAGGCAGAATCCTCTCGTAAAGAGCAACAATGCAATTGTGGAGTAGGTCCAAGGGAATTTTTGTATATAGTGTGGTAAAATCTGATGGATTTGTGTTTTACTAATGTTGTTTCAGTTTCAATTCAATACTCCTTTATTTTTATAATCCAATTTTCATGGAAATTTGAGAGGAATATTCGAGCTCATTCATGAGCCCGATTTATGAGCTCAATTCCTGTAGGAGGATAAGTTTCCTGTAGGAGATCTTTGAATTTTCTGTAGGAGATAGGGGTACTTGACCTGAAAACTTTCAATTTTTTCTTTAAAAGCTTGAAACACTTTTATCTTCCATGGATGGAAAAAGGCGTCATGATCGGCATTTTGACAATTATAGCAACGTTGGCGTTTTGGACATTTACACATATAGGGTGGCCGGAAAGTTTCTCCCCATGATTTTTACGAAATAAAGCTAGAAATATAGCACATTGGGGCAATCATCGTAACTCTTTGAGAAAGCTTATGAAGTTCAGATTTTCCATAACCACTAATGGCACCGACAAGCATGATTTTCATATCAACCTTTTGGCTTTTGAACAGGACTGATGGTTGACGGGTTATCTGCTCTCACTCGACAAAAAGTTACTGTGAATGGGGTATACTACCAAGATCATATTCTCCCTTTGTATGCAGCATGCATTGAGAATCGTCTACAGTTCCCTCAGCGTGAAACAGTTATCCTCATGCATGATGGTGCTACGGCTCATACAGGAAAAGTCACAATTTCAGCAACTGACAACATGTTTCAGAGTGTGTGGAAGGACTGGCTTGGAAATTCGCCTGACCTCAACCCAATGGAACATCTGTGGGCTAGATTGCGGGATGGTTAATCACGATCAGTTAATCACCCTCGTAAAGAAGGAATGGGACAGCATCAACCAGGAGGAGACGGCCGCGTTCACTGACTCTTTTGGCAAACGCCTTGAAGCTTACTTGAAAATGGTGGCAGGCACACAAAATATTGAATCCTTTCTCGCTGAAAGTACCTAGTGTACCTAATGTGACCTGCCCATTTTATTTTGTCACTGTGCTATATTTCAAGTTTTATTTTGAAAAAACCATGGGGAGAAACTTTTCGGTCACCCTGCAGATGCAACATCAACATTTCCTAAACGTAGCTGGAATATCTTGTGTTACATTGGTAGCTCTGCGATATTGCCGGTAAAGGAGTGATAAAGAACTAGCAATTACCAGTATTTACCACAAAATTAGGGAAATTTATCAGAAAGTAACGCCCTCCTTCAGTACCGGTAACTGTACATACCTTGATGAATCAAATCTGCTTCACCGGAAACAACAGA